TAGTTGTGCAAGGGAAATTATGTCTTCCATTATTATGTGCAAAATGATTTGTACCTTGATGATAATAATGTTGATAACTAGATAAGGGATTACATGAGTTTTATGTTAGAAATCAATCCTATCCAATTCTTGATGTACCAAGCAGAATTTGTAATGATTCTTAGAACTTTATTTCGAATGATTTGTATTTTGTTTCGATTACAATTGGTGGCTATATACCAATGGTATGGTAAGGTATATCAGTGCTATGTCTGTGATACCCCACAGCACTGCATCTAGATAAACATAGATATAAGCACTGCATACGTTAGAATGGGGACGAAGCACTTGTTCATAGAGGAAGATTAGGTTAGAAAGAGGTAATTCTCCTCTGCATTTTTTTTATTCAATTCCTTCTATTAGGTCACACTCTCCCTATATATATCTTGTTCAGATTTTCAATCGTTCCTAAAATACTTTTTATTCATCCACTCAATTACATTTAAAATAAATTTTTTTTTAACTTGTTCAGGATGACACTTGATGTGAATACAGTTTTTCAAATATTAATTCAGTAATTAAATTTAAATAATTAATTATATATTTTTTTTTTTTTAGATTTTAGTGCACATATCTATCAATAGATGGCGCCAAATAAACTTAAAAAAATAAATGAAAATTATTTATAAAGGACTATTCTGCAATAGAGTGAAAAAAAAAGTAGGAATTGACATTAATTTTTTTTTTTTTATATTACTTGTTTTTATTTACTTTTTTTTTATTTATTTTTTTTTTTTTTTCCATGCATCCCTTTTCCTTAAGGAAGGGAGGGAGGATGGAATTCCGCCTAGCTCTCTTCAAATAAATAAAGCAACTGGTATGACAGTCACAGAACATCCTTCAAATCCGAAAGTGAGTGACAACATCCAACAGGAAGGGATAAAAAAAAAAAAAAAAAGGGGGGGGGGGCTGTTCCTTTTACACCTGCAGCAAGCACAAGTGCAGCGAGCAAGTGGGTCAAAAAAAAGGAGTCTTATCGGTGGGAAAAGGGGAGAAATAGCTCGGGCAACGGCTGTCTCGTTTAATTGCCGCAGAGTGGGAAAAAGACGTATGGATTTGTCTCCCGTTTTACGAGGTGGGGTGATGGTGAAACCGCAAAGATATGCAAGTGCTGCTGAGATGGTACTTGAAGAGGGGAAAATGTTATATGTCGTGAAAATAAAATAAAAAGATATTCTCAAGCATTCCTGAATAAGTAATGTTCCTCAATTTTTCTTTTTCTTTCCCTCAAATACTAAGTTAGCCAAAGCTATATTAATGTTGTCAATTTGTAGGGCCAATTTGTTATATATACATACATATAAGCAATTGGTGTTAGATTTATATATATTTTTTTCATAATAAAATAAGAATTTTCTGATATTATTAGGTATTATCAGAAATTTTCTGATAATGGCTTAATAGAGAGTTTTGCGTAATCTAAAAAAAAAAACTAAAATTTTTATCGTTCCGATATTTTTCTTCCTAGCGCGCATGCTCATAAGAATAGCTCAGTAGTGAAGTATTACAGATACGCATGCGCAATAGGTATAATGTTTCCTATGAGCATGCGCGCTAGGGAAGAAAAAATATCGGACGATAAAAAAAACGTTATGCAAATTCAGAAAATATCAGAAATATCAAATATCAGAAAATTTCTGATATTAAGTGCGGGTGCTCTGACGCTCGGCACCACAGGTTTCAAGTTGGAGTCCCGGGGTGCAAAATAAATCAAGCAAGATGTAAGCATGCCATGGATGTTCATAATGGTTAATCCCCTTTAAATCTTGGGTAAAACTGCAAAAATATGCAAGTGCTGTGATGTTACTTAAAGAGAAAAAAAAGTTATATGTCGCGAAAATAAAATAAAAAGATATTCTCAAGCCTTCCTGAATAAGTAATGTTCCTCAGTTTTGTTTTACCTCCAAATGCTAAGTTAGCCGAAGTTCTATCAATTTGTTATAGTACATATAAGGAATTGGTGTTAGATTTTTTTTTCTTTGTAATAAAATGACAAATTTTCTGATATTATTAAATAATGTCATAAATTTTCTGATATTATTTAATAATATCAGAATTTAATAAGTCATTCATACGCTCTGAAGCTCGATACCACAGGTTTCTGGTCGAGTCTCGGCGGTGCCATGGATGTTCGTAATGGTTCAGAATCTACTTTAAACTTTAGGTCCAGGTCTAATATGATTGTATATCGATGGATTGAAATCTCTACCCCGTAAAAAGAAAAACATCTCATGTTTCGAAATCTTCCAATAGATAGATGGCCTTGGCCCAGTAAAAGGGGCTGTTGCGCCAATGAAGAAGAAGTCATTCATATACATTAATTTAGACTAGATATAAGAGGCCTGAATGGCTTGCTGAATAATTCGGCTTAACCAGCTGAATAATAAATTTTTTAGATATCTATTAACACAAGTGCTGACAATGGTTTAACGATGATCATTTTCTGTGAGAATAAGTTTTAAAAACTCACGGTTACATATTAAATAACATATAGGATCAGTATATTTTTAATTGAAAAATATAAAATTATAATAAATGTACTTAATGCAATTTAATTATAGAAAATTTCCACTGTTATCACGACCAACCGGAAAAGGAACATTTTTGTTCGCATTGGCTCACACACATTCGAATTCCTTTGCGTTTAAAAAACGTTGTCATCAATTGAACTAACAAGACCAAGATAATTTTAAAAACAAGTAATATAAAAACAAATTTTTTAAAGTCAATTCATTCTTTTTTTTTTCACTATATTGCAGAAAGTCCTTTTATAAATAACTTTCATTCATTTTTTATGTTTATCTGGCGCCATCTATTGGTAGATATATGCAACTTAAATCTAAAATAAACTAAAATTATTTAATTAAATTTTATTAATGAATTAATATTTGAAAAACCTGTATTAACATCAAGTGTCCTCCACTACAAGTTTAAAAAAAATGAGTGGATGAATAGGAATGATGGAGTGAATGAATAGGAAGAGTAGATGAATAGGAAGTAATGGAATACTTGAGTGGATGAATAGGAAGTATTTTAATAACGATTGAAAATTTGAACAAGATATATATAGGGAGAGTGTGAGTCAATAGAAGGAATTGAAAAAAAAAAAAAAAGGAACAGCAATCTCAAATTACAGAAAAATAATAAAAGCAAAAATAATAAAAGCAAATATAATAAAAGCAAATACATACGGCGAAAATAATAAAAGCAAAAGCAAATATATTAGGCTATATTTCAAATTTAATTAAAAACATTTTGATCATTTAAAATTAAAAAATATAGAATACATTAATAAGAATACTCAAACACGATCGTTTCAAATTTCTAACGTAAAAAATTAAGAATAATAATATCCAGAAAAATAAACTAAATCAAAATCAGACGATTTTTTATATTATTGCGAATTTGTAATTACATTATTTTAAAATTGAACAATATATATTAAATGAATAATAAAAAAATAATTGATAATAAAATAATAATAATTAATAATTAAACGAATAAAAATAATTAATATTTGAATGAATAAAATAATTAATAATAATTTAATTAATAATTAATTAGAAAAAAAAAGAGATTATTAACTAATTATTAATTAATGATGAGCAAATGAGAGAAAAGAGCAGCGTGAATATATGAATATTTCTCCCATATTAAACTAAAATTAATTAAATTTAATTAATGAATTAATTTTTGAAAAACTGCATTAACATCCAGTGTCATCCACTACAAGTTCAAAAATTTATTTGAACTTGAGCGGATGAATAAAAAGTAGTTTATGAACGATTGAAAATTTGAACAAGATATATATAGGGAAAATTGTGAGCTAATAGAAGAAATTTAACAAAAAGGCACAAATTGCACTAGATTTTCTTTTAACAGTTTATTTGTTGAGTATATTTTACTATCTTTGCTCAATGAAAAAGAATAGTTCATTTCAAGAAAAATAGAAATAAAGAACAGAGGTTTCAGATTAATTCATTATTAAGAAATAAAAGTAAAAATAAATTATTTTGATATAAAGCGAGTCCCATTAAAGAAAATGGAAATGGATTTTATATTGAAAAAAAAAAATAATTTTTTTTTTTTTTTTTCATATATTAAAAATTCCATTTTTCAAAATTTGTTATTTAGCAAAGAATTAATCTTTGTTACGTAATTCATATACATTAACCTTATAAAAGATGTCGATTATGCAAGTGGACCTAACAATGACCACGCTTTGTTAAAGATTTTTCCTTAATATACATTATATATAGAGATATATAAATAAATAAATAAATAAATAATATATATATGTATATATATATATATATATCCGGTATACGTTGTCCTGTTAAGAAACAAGTAATATAAAATAAAAAAAAAATTTTAAAGTCAATTCCTACTTTTTTTTCACTCTATTGCAGAAAGTCCTTTATAAATAATTTTCATTCAATTTTTTAAGTTTATCTGGCGCCATCTATTGGTAGATATATGCAACTTAAATGTAAAAAATAAAAATATTTAATTAAATTTAATTACTGAATTGATATTTGAAAAACTGTATTAACATCAGTGTCATCCACTAACATCAGTGTCATCCACTACCTATTCTCCATGGTCCCACTACATGTGCATACTAATTTTCATGATTATATCGATTACAGAGCCACCTACTGGATCCAATTACAATCTAAACTATCCAGAGAGCCACTCAAAACACACAAAAATTTCGTCATAATCGGTCCAGCCGTTTAGGAAGAGTTCAGTGATAAACACATGCAAAAGAATTATATTTAAAATCCATCCAGTTTCAAAAGCAGAAAAACATGCTAATTTCAAAATGAATAACAGGCAGACATAAATGTGAAACACAAACCCGTAATGAATTATTTTAATGAAAAACTAATATTAGAAAAAGAAAAATTATTATAAAAATATAAAAATATTCTGTTAATAAACAAAAATGACATTAGCCATGGCCCATGGGGGGGGATCGAACCCACGACCTTCGCGTTATTAGCACGACGCTCTAACCAAACTGAGCTAGCCAACTGGGCCTTCGAATTTTTCTAATGTCTATATGTTTGTTTGGTCATAAATATTTTTATTGTTACAAAACGAAAGACAATTTATAGATAAGATAAATATTTTTAAAAGCAGTAGTAAAGAATAAAAGTACAGGAAGTATGCATAGAAACGACAATGCTTATCTAAGCATGTATAAAAACGAAATATATATATATATACCAGCAGAACTCGGCATACGTTGACCATCCAAAAACAAGTAATACATAAAAAAAAATTTAAGTCAATTCCTACTTTTTCACTCTATTGTAGAAAGTCCTTTATAAATAATTTTCATTCATTTTTTTAAATTTATCTGGCGCCATTTATTGGTAGATGTATGCACTTAAATATAAAAAAAACTAAAATTAATTAATTAAATTTAATTACAGAATTAATATTTGAAAAAACTGTATTAACATCCAGTGTCATCCACTACAAGTTCAAAATAAATGTATTTATCCACTCAAGTTCAAATACAAAGCATTTTATTAATTATTGAAAATTTGAACGAGATATATATAGGGAGAGTGTGAGCTAATAGAAGGAATTGAAAAAAAAAAAACATGCATTGTAGAAAATTACATATCGCGAATATATTCTCCATGTTCCAATCTATGTGCATACTCATTTTCATGCTAATTCGTTTGAACGGTCTATAAGATGAAATGTTGTAGCACCCTCTGGCAAGTAACAATAAAGTGGATAGCCGTATTTTCCATTCTCGGATGCATATTATTATCAATTTTCAGAGAGATTAGTTAAACGGTATAGAATTTGATAGATATCTGCAAAAGGAGATAGCACCATCTGCTCAAACACATACGATTTCAAAACAACCGTTATAAGGACAACACAGCAGAACACACGTACAAAGCAGATAGCATAACAACATTCTCCATGTTTTGTCAAACAACAAAAATATTCATCAAAATCGGTCAACCGTTATAAGGACAACACAGCAGAACACACGTACAGAAGAATTATATCGATTCCAGAGTCATCTAACGAGTCTAAGTCGAGAATCTAAAACCAGGTACAAGGGACTTTGTCTGTTAGAACTGTGGGAGAAATCCACTCAAACACACATCAAATCCAATCAAGATCTCATCAAAATTGGTCCAGCGATTTCAGTTTAGAGGAGTTCAGTGACACACACATGTACAGAAGACATGGACTTGGTCCTCTGGTGCGACTGGACCGAACATTGACTGGAAATGCTTATGTTCATCTATGGAGATCTCTTGCAGCCATTCATGGACTTCATGTACCCAAACAACGCTATTTTTATATTATGTCACCAACGTCCAGTTCCAAAAGCTGAAAAAGCATGGGACATAATTTCAAAAAATGAATAACAAACAGCATGGCTTAGACATCGAACGATTGAGAAATACAAACCCGTAATGAATCATTTATTCTTATATACATCTGAAAAAACTAATATTAACAAAAAGAAACAGTAATGAAATATAGAAAAAAAATATTCTGTTCATAAACAAAACTATTAGCCATGGCCCATGGGGGGATCGAACCCACGACCTTCGCGTTATTAGCACGACGCTCTAACCAACTGAGCTAATGGGCCTCGATGTCAGTAGAAAACCAGCTGAAAGATTCTCACAAATTTTCCTGATATCTGTAATGTTCATTTGGTCATAAAAATTTTTATTGCTATAAAACGAAAACAATTTGTACATAGTACAAGATAAATATTTTTAAAAGCAGTTGTAAAGAATAAGAAAGTATGGAAAGCACACAAAGAAAAGACAGTGCATAGGTAAGCACATATAAAAACGAAAAATATATATATAAGCATTTATAAAAACGACATACTTGAATAGTAAAAATAATTTCTTTTTTTTGAAAAACAACGTTTTACTTACAAACGAGTATTTGTATGGTTATAAGTGAGGAAAAATCGGAACTCATGTTAGGATGTGTTTCTAAGAAGGATGTTGTATGTAAAATACGATTAAAAAAAAAAAAAAAGAATTTCTTTGATTAATTTGTTTTCCTCTCTGAGTATAGTAATTAAGTGGTCTTAAAAGAGTCTTATTTAAGTATTTAAGTCTTAAGTCAGCATTTAAGTCTCATTTGTTATGTCAAGCGATATATAAGGTATTTCTTGGATAATAGGTTGAACAATTTTATAAAGTATTAAGGATTAAAGACACTAAATGTTTTTTTTATAACTTATAGATAAAAACTTGTAATTAAAAACAAATTATGCGTGATCTAAAATCAATGTATAGAAGCTAAAATGACTACTTTAACTCGTCCATATCTATACAATTTTCATTGAAAAATATTCAAATAAAAATATTATTCCGTACAAAATTTACTTTAATTTCTATTTAAAAATTTTCTATTCTTACAAGAAAAAAAATCTTACACCTAACAAGGAATATATATGTATACCTTATATATCTGAATATAAGCGGAATATTCACAATATTAGCGGAATATTATCCGTGTATAATATAAAACGTGAGAGAGCGTTTCCTTCAAAAAAAAAAAAAAAATTACAGAGTTGAAAACTTGTATACAAACCGAAATGAAATAAAATTCTAGTAACATTCATTATTTGCTGTATTTCATTATTATTTTTGGAGTACGTTTCGCTACTTTTCTGTTCACCGGTCGAAAATTTCGCCAACGTCAGATTTTTTGATGACGACACAACTAACCAGCAATATAAACCATGCCGAAAATAAAATAACTAATTTTTATAAAAAGCAAATAGCCATTTAATTTGAAATATTTTTTCCTAACAAATATAAAATAAAGAAATATTTTTGATATACATTTTGCTACTCTTTTCTGTTCACCAGTTTGAAAATTTAGCCAACATCAGAATTTTTCGTTTTGGCGACGACGAAACAATATAAACCATTTCGAAAATAAAACAACTTATTCTCATCGATAGCTCATTTCATTTGAAGAATTTTTATTTATTTATTTATTTATTTATTTTTTTTTTTTTGTGAATTTAAGAAATATAAAATAAAAGAAATAAAATAGTTCTTTATTTACAGATATTTGGCGATTTATCACTTGCGCCCGGCTAACGGAAAAGTACCTACTTTTTTGGCGACATGAGCGGATTCGTATATTAATTGATAGCAGTACTTTAGTTTTAAAAATTCTGAATATTATTTAAAAAAAAAATTATTAAATATTCTTTTCTAAATATTATTAACTTACGAAACTTCAGTTATTTTTCTCTTCAAATCATTTTATTCGTTTAAGGACAACATTCGTTTTATTCGTTTGAGTAACATTCATTATTTAAGGTATTCTTATTATTATTTTTGAGTATGTTTCACTACTTTCTTCTGTTCGACGGTCGAAAATTTCGCCAACATCAGATTGTTTTGGCGACGATGCAACTGACCAGCAATATAAATCATTTCAAAAATAAAAGAAGTTATTTTTTAAGCCGAATAACTATTTCATTTGAAATTTTTTTTTTCACATATTAAGATATGTAAAATACTAAAATAAAAGAGAGCTTTATTTATTGATATTTGAATTTATAGATTATATAGATTGCGCCTTTTATAACTTATTTATTTAGATTGTTATTTATAGATTGTGCCCGGTTAATGGAAAAACCTCCGTTTTTGGCGAGATAAGCGGATTTGTATGTAACTCGAAGTGCAGGATGGTATCTCCGTCGTAATAGCATGCTTTCTGACACCTACCCTTAAGTATCAACCGAAATTGCGGATGGAGCAGAGCCTCATTCTTTGGGCCTGATGGTCGAGTAGCTGGTGCTCGGTACCACAAGTTTCGGGTTCGAGTCTCAGCGGTGCTATGGATGATTTGGAATCCACTTTAAGTCGTAGGTTCCGGTCTAATAGGATCGTAGAGCGTTGTGAGGATAGTGCTATTTGCGTCCGTAGCATATCTTCAGGCTACACGGGCTTTCTGGGTAATACTAAATGAGTAACATCGGTGACAGCCCTTGCTTATGGCGTAAATATATCTCAGTTATGCCAGCTGCATTAGAAAAAAAAAAAAAATATTTTCTTTTGCTACTATTATTATCTGAATCCACTTTAAAACTGTAGTTCCCAGTCTAATATGGCTGTAGAGCGTTGGACCTTGATAACCTTATCCCGTAAAAAGAAACCTGTCTCGAAATCTGCCAGTGGGCAGACGGCCTTGTCCACCATAGGACTGTTGCGCCAGTGAAGATTATTATTATTATTATTATTATTACTGTGGGACAAATAAATTCATCAATTGCTACTATGATAATTGAACAGATGGAGTATTAGTTTACGTGCATAAATTTTTAACATTATCTTGGATTTTATAGTTTTTATAAAAAATTATCTTATTAATCAAGTCTGTAATTGACACTATTTTTTGAAGATCAGTTTTTCTCTTCTGTCTTTTCTTACGCAATACTTTCATCTTTCAAATTAATCAAATATTGATAAGATATTTGAATGTTTTTGGGATATCAGCTAATTCTTCTACGCTAGTTTCTACATGGAGTTTTTATGTAATTCTTACATGAATTTGTTTCTTTTGAAACAAAGCATAAATTCCATAATCTACGAGTACTTCCATAAATTCCATAATCTACTGCAGGTTTGGTTTGCCGATGTACAATTATTTTGTTGCACATTTTAGGCTAATTAGACGGAGTCCTACAATTTAACATGGATTCCAAACCATCAACATACAATCATGCCACCTGCCAGAATTCGAAACCTAAATCCTGTGGTACCAAAGGCCAGATCGCTAGCCAATTGGCCATGAGGCTGCTCTATGGTCGGGGTTGCTTTGCATTCTCTTATGTAGTATGTTATTAGCCCACTAACGGGCAATGAGAGGAAGACGTTACCTTCAGGGGACTTTTGAAGAGAACTGCCTCACATTTACATTTCGAATGAGAGAAAACCGAAATCTCTCTTCTTGAAGCCTGACTATCGATGCAAGACGCTATACACATACTGTTACAATCACCATAAAGTCTG